CCCCCAAGAATGGATACATGTCGATACTGATGGATCAGCATTTAAAGCTACCATTAAAGCAGGTTACGGAATTTACATAGGTTATCCCGATGGATCTGTTGAAGAGATTTTTGATGCATGCGGGGAATTCTGTTCAAACTATGAAGCTGAAATAATTGCACTGGAAACAGCAGTATACCACCTAAAGACTGTAATGGATGTTTACCCTTCAAAGGTCCAAAATATTGTCATCTTCACAGATTCAATGTCTGCCCTTCAAGCTCTGGAGGGCAGTGAACGCTGCAGAACTGACATAGCCAAGATAATCATGGATGCTGATCAACTTATTACCTCATACAACATCAGAATAGTGATGCAGTGGATTCCAGGTCACTCCGGCACACCAGGTAATGACAGAGCTGACAGATTGGCAAAGAAAGGAGCAACACAAGAACAACCACCTACAGCGACAACCCTCCAGACAGCAAAAACACTGATAAGAGCTATAAACAAAGAGACTTGGTTGAATAGATGGGCCATGGGAGACACTGGAAGAGAGGTGTATAGACATATGTCTGGCCCTGATCCTAATGACAGCATTAACCATCTAACAAGAAGGGACCAGGCCACCATCTTCAGACTTAGAACGCAACATACTCCACTCAATGGACACCTAAACAGAATACAGCCACAACACTCCCCAGAGTGCCAGCTATGTAACTACTCCTACGAAACTGTTGAACACCATCTCTTTGAGTGCCCAAAACTCAGTGAGACAAGAAGAACGCTACTCCCTCCGAGACCAGACAAGTGGAACACCTTGTACGGAGGAAAAGAACAGCTTGTGAAAACATGCAAATTCCACTACATGGCATTGGGCCAAAGGGCGAAAGCTCATGCGCCGCTGGATCGATAACAACAACAACATAAGGTTAAGGTTAGACGTTTGCAGCTATTAAAAGCGTCTGTGGTGCTGCCTCCCATCGTGATGTCCTCAGCGCATGCGTAGTGTGCTTAATGGTAAATTCAGCCCTGGGTTGCATTTTCCCACAAAACACTCTAACACAGACAGCTATGCAAATAAAATATGCAGTCGCCTTCGCTTGCTGTTCTCTCATAGTGGGCGAATTTGAATTATTTTGTTTCCACGCTCCATGCCAGCTGAAGAAACAAAAATCAGCAGACTCTATAAGCAAGACTTTTGGTATCTGATGTCTGTGAATTTTGAGCTGGTAGCAGAAACATTTGATTTTGTGTACGACAAGGTCACACAGTAAAAAATGCAATCTGCCTACTGGGACCATAGTCATGCGCTTGAATTAGTATCAAGGCGCATGAAATAAAATAAAAATTAAATACCACGTATTTTTCAGTATACTCGTAGTTGCCGTTTTCGCTTACACGCTGATTATACCGTCAGCATCACGCATGCCGCCTTTACTTCGCAAGAATTTACCTGGTACCCATTTGAGGCTGGGTCGACACGGGAGCCAAGTCAAGAAAAAACAAGCTTATGCACTATTCACCCTTGAGAAGTAGGTATGATTCGACCATAAGGAGTATGTATAGTTCAGCAGTGAGAAGTATATACAGTTCAACAGTGAGGAGCATATATATATATATATATATATATATATATATATATATATATATATAATATATATATATATATATGTATATATATATATATATATATATATATATATATATATATATATATATATATATATATATATATATATATATATATATATATATATATATATATATACTAGCCGTGCCCTGCCACGCTTTGCTGTGGCCCCGACTGGTTAAATGGAATAGAAAGAAAGCTAACAGTGTCTTTCATAACTATCACCCCACTTTCATCTACCCTCAACTCAGTCATATCTCCCTCTCCGAAGGATTGAAAAATCATCCCTGGCGAAAGTATTAAAATAAAAATAGTTAAGAAATGACAACTTTAAAATAATGTTTTAAGCTCTCTCAGTTAACAGTGTCTGCCATCATGCCCCCCCCCCCCCCCCCCCCCCCCCTTCCCCACTAATCATGTCATTCTCGCCGAAGGATGGGAAAGTCATCATCTGACGAATTATTGTAACTAAATTGAGCTTTGCATCCATGTCTACCCAAAGACAGATGTATAGCATTAATGTGTAATGAGAAGTAAATGTGGCTAATGTAACAGCTACCACATAACCCATCCAGTACCAGTACTACTGCTACCACTACTACCACCACCTTCAAAAAAAAAAAAAAAAACATTCTCTACTGTCTGTGCAGGTCGATTTAGCCAGAGGAGTTAGCGCTGCATATTGTCGCCACGGACTGTTTAGAGCTTCCAACAAAGAAATAAAAAAACTCCATCACCTAACCAGTGATGGAACCCACAGTAATAGTCCGTTATATACTCACAAAAAGATGGGGTGGGGGGGGGGGGAACCCACCCGTCATCTCCCCTCTCCGAAGGGACGAATGTTAAATGACCTTGGCATCCGTGTCCACCCAAAGTAAACTGGACTGTAAGCAGTCTTAGTTAACAGCTTTTGTCAATAACGAAAAGTTTATGATCGAGTGAAGCGTCGCGGGAAGGATAAATGGGACTTTACTGAAATCGGATGTCTTTGGGCGAAAGGTGCAGATATCGCAGCCTAGCTGTAAACCACAACACAACATGCCAACAGCCCTCTGAATGGCAAACGAATATTACCAGTGACATGACCAACATCAACTCGCCACTATCGCAGGCTAGCTGTAAATCGCCAAACCGAGCGAACAAAAGACGTAGATATCTCAGCCTAGCTGTAAACCACAACACAACGTGCCAGCCGCATATTTAAGGCCAAAAAAAATGTAATCACTTAGCGAGGCATTGATCGCCGATCACCCGGGTAACACGCAAACTATACAACTACGCTACCAAAGGACTCAAGCATTTGCCCAATTATATCTCCCTCTCCGAATGATCGAAACATTATTATGTGGCGACATTTAAAAAATTGAAATCCCTAAGAAATGAGAACTGTAAAACAATGTTTTAAGCTCTCTCAGTTAATAGTGTCAGGCATCAACCCCCTCAACACTCCCTCCCCCCACCCCTCGTGACAATCATATGTATGAGAAAGTCATCGCCTGACGAAATATTGTTGTTAGATTGAGCTTGGCCTCTGTGTCCACCCAGAGACAAATGGTAAGCATTAATATGTACTGAGAAGAACATGTGGCCAGTGCAACAGCTACCACATCACCCATCGAGTACCTGTACTCCTGCTTCCACTACCACTACCTCCGTCAAAACAACAGTAACACAAAACGGTCACTACTGTCTGTATAGGTCATTGTAGCCAGAGGAGTTGGCGCCGCATGCTTTCGCCACAGACTGTTTAGTTCAATTGTGTCCCCGACATAAAACTCCATCACCTAACCATTGATGGAACCCAGAGTAATATTCTGTGATTTAATAACAAAAAACTACACTATACTCACAAATAGAGGAAATAAAAACCCGCACTAGTCATAACCCCCTCTCCGAAGGGACGATGTATAACTGACCTTGACATCCGTGTCGATCCAAACCAAACTGGACCGTAGGCCTTTATTGTTAACAGTGTCTGTCATCAACGAAAAGATTTTGATCGAGTCAAGCGTCTGGGGGAGGTTAATTGGGACTGCACTGAAATCGGATGTCTATGGGCGTAAGGCGCAGCTGTCGCATTTTAGTTGTAAACCACAACACAACGTGCCAATCGCCCCTTAAGGGGAAACAGAAAATTCAGCACCCGGCAGGAAATCGAACACCGGCCATTCGTATGAAGGGTGGATTGCTTACAACTCTACATCTGAAGACTGAAGACTTTACGTTAGCTATCGCAGCCTAGCTGTAAACCACAACACAACGTGAAAACCGCCCTCTCAAGGGCGAACGAATATGAACATTGAGCATCACGCGAACGAATATGAACATTGAGCATCACGTCGCCGCTATCGCAGGCTAGCTGTAAACCCCAAAATCAAACAGAAAAAAGCGTAGATATTGCAGCCTAGCTATAAACCACCACAAAACGTGACAGCCAACCAGTAATGGCCCCTTCCCCCCCCCCCCCCCCCCGCCCGCCCCCGCCCGCCCCCCCCCCAAAAAAAAATATATATATATATATATATATCACCCAGCGGGGAATCGAACTGCTATGACCCGATTAAAAAGCGAAATACTTACAACTAACTACGCTACTAAATACTTAAGCATTTAGTAGAAATGAAAGTATATAATAATAATGTGAAGTTCGGTGTTACACAGTCAAAGGTGGCCAATCAATTAAAAATAAATCCGGGCCGGCAACGAAACAAATAATGATTTGACCGTTGCTGGAGCTACGTGGATCTTGGTTTGTGCGAATTTATGACAAACAATCACGCTTAGAGTCAGAGGCAACGTTGTATGAAAATCGGTTAAGTAATTTCCGAGTTTAGATATAACAAACACGGAAAATTAACATTTTTATTTTAAAAAACAATATGTATGTATATATATATATATATATATATATATATATATATATATATACACATATACATATATTTATATTTGTTAGTTGCGTATTCTTTACAGGACGTTGCAGAACCAACCCGAACATCCCCTGGCTGTTGTGTGGTTTCTCTAGGCAATTTACAAACAGTAGTTTTCCATTGCTTTCTTGACGGTCGGCGTTCTTGATACCACTGTCGAAACCAACGCAAGGCGCAGTGCCCGCAGCTGGGATCGAACCTGGCATCCCGACACTACGAAGCGAAGTGTTCGCTTCGACTTAGCTACAGAGCCGACATATATATATATATATATATATATATATATATATATATATATATATATATATATATATATATATATATATATATATATATATATATATATATATATATATATATATATATATATATATATATATATATATAGAGAGAGAGAGAGAGAGAGAGAGAGAGTTTAGCACTGAGAGCTGATATGCTTCAGCAAATGAAACGAATTATGGTTTAGCTATGAGAGGTATGTGTGTTTCAGCCATGAGGGGTATGTATATTTCAGCTATGAGGGGTATGTATGTTTCAGCCATGAGGGGTTGGTATGTTTCAGCCATGAGGGGCAGGTATGTTTCAGCCATGAGGGGTAGGTATGTTTCAGCCATGAGGGATATGTATATTTCAGCCATGAGTGGTATGTATATTTCAGCCATGAGGGGTATGTATGTTTCAGCCATGAGGGTTAGGTATGTTTCAACCATGAGGGGTATGTATGTTTCAGCCATGTAGGGTAGGTATGTTTTAGCCATGAGTGGTATGTGTTTTTCAGCCATGAGGTGTATGTATATTTCAGCCATGAAGGGTGTGCATCTTTCAGCTATGATCAGTATGTATGGTTCATCAGTGAGGAGAAGGTATGGTTTAGCAATGAGGAACCAACACTTAATCATCTCAGTAACTGATTATAGACTGAGGTTGCTCACTGTTTCGCATACAAAATGAAGCTATGCGGGTCATTCTGTGATAGATAAAAGACACCCTGTCTGTGTGCAGGCGATACATCCTTGCATTGATGACTATTACAAGTAGGCTAAAGGTGCTGCAGGCTAAATGATTATTCAAAGTAGCTGTAAATAGCGCGCTCTGTATGAGGCTTTGGATGCAGTTAAGGGTCAGAGGCTGAAAATGGGAACATCATGCAAGGCTCAAGCATAAGACACAATAAGACAAGTGTGCATGCTGGATTACATTAGTTAAGGAGATGAGTGGGTCACAGTACCAGAGGAAATGTCTGACCTGTGTAGGCTCATGGTCACATTGGGCAGGGGGTTCAGAGAGTGGCCACCAGTGGTTACAAAAGTAAAAACTCAACAAATGATTCACGACAATTCTCGTCCAGATGATTTAATCATGTATGTTGATGTTTTTGTGTTGAGATTGAAGAGAAGTGTCTAGGCGTTCGTAGCAGAAGCCATTAGAAAATCTTTAGTGCAAACATACTGGCAAACGACACTTCAACATAAAGCATGCGAATGGAGTTGGGGGCGTTAACTGCAGCTCTATGGTGGCTAGAGAACAAGATGCATACACATATCCTAATTGTACCGGACACTGAAAACATGCTGAGTAAGATGAAGACATGGTTGCTTCGAGCAGGGTGACAAGCTTCACTTGGAGAGTTACATGTAGTGAGCATACTTTGGAGCTTTTCTTCAGGCTCGGATGGAACAGGCAGATTAGCTGGTTCTGCACCACTGGGTTGTGAACTGATACATGCCAATACAAATGATGTCATTTGTATTAATAATAAAATAATATCTTAGTAGGGAGTCGGCAGTACGAAACCCAAGTTCAAGGTGTCTCCTTCGTGCCAAAGAACTGCATGGCTGTTGGGTGAACAGTCGTTAACGATGGCAGGCAGGTCGTTGTAGAGGCGACGCCTGCTGGTGGATGTAATGTCCTAAGTCCCTACCCCAGCTAATTAGGAGGGTACTGATGGGGTGACCGTTTATTAAACCTCATATAATGCTTCTGGTCAAAATGGACGCTAGGCACGGCCACCTTTTTTTCCAGACGGTGGCGTTGCATTTTTGCTCCATTTGTAGACTGGAAGGATGTAGTTTCGTCGCCCAGCTTCTAAGTTGAGTGCATGGCGTGAAACTGTGACCTGCGTTTGTTTTTCGTTGGCACAGTAGCGGAGCATCAGTGGGGCGACCCGTTTGCTATGAAGCTGAAACTAGGATTACCAGATTACAAATGATGTCAAATCTCTTTGGGAACAATATCAACAGAGAAACTGGATTAATATTACCTGGAGTGGATGATGCACCTGGGTCTGACCGGAGTGTCTTGTCAGCTCACTACACCAAGATGAAAGGCAAGACGGACAATTAAACAGGCTATGACTGGTGTCTTTAGTACTGGAACTCTGCGCTGGCAGCTGAAGATGCGGACGCAGCGCATAAGAGAATGCTCCGAATGATGTGAGTCAGTTCTTAACTCAGCTCAAATTAAGCGATGAGGAATAAGTATTTTTCATCAGTTAGGAGTATTAATGTACATCCATAAAGTATATGTATGGTTCAGCCATGTGGAGTATCTATGTTGCAGCCGTAAGGAGTATGTATGGTGCAATCTTAAGAAGTATGTATGGTGCATTAATGAGGATTGTGCATGGTGCTGTCATGGATGCATGTATTGTGCAGTCATGAGGTGTTTGGATGGTGCAGTCATGAGGTGTATGTATGTTGCAGCAATGAAGAGTATTATGGAGCAGCCATGAAGAGTATGTATGGGGCAGCCATGAAGAGTATGTATGGTGCAGCCATGAAGAGTATGTATTGTGCAGCCATAAAGAGTATGAATTGTGCAGCCATAAAGAGTATGTATTGTGCAGCCATGAAGAGTATGTATGAGGCAGCCATGAAGAGTATGTATGGTGCAGCCATGAAGAGTATGTATGGTGCAGCCATTAGGTGTATGTATGGTGCAACCATGAAGAGTATGTATGGTGCAGCCATGAAGAGTATGTATGAGGCAGCCATAAAGAGTATGTATGGTGCAGCCATGAAGAGTGTGTATGGTGGAGCCATGAAGAGTATGTATGTTGCAGCCATAAAGAGTATGTATGGTGCAGCCATGAAGAGTATGTATGGTGCAGCCATGAAGTGTATGTATGGTGCAGCCATTAGGTGTATGTATGGTGCAGCCATGAAGAGTATGTATGGTGCAGCCATGAAGAGTATGTATGGTGCAGTCATGAAGAGTATGTATGGTGCAGTCATGGAGAGTATGTATGGTGGAGCCATGAAGAGTACGTATTGTGCGGTCACAGGAAGTCTGCATGGTGCAATCATGAGGAGCATGTTACTTTTTTCTTCTTCATCTTCTAGATATTTACCAGTTTCAATCTTTGGTGGAACGTTATAGTTGTTCGACCATTTCTTGACTTTGGTCTCATTTCAGAATATGAGTTGTGTGTGCAGATCCGTTTTACAGGTGTGGCTTTTTTATATCCAGACTGCTGGTTCCTTGCATCTCAGACATTTGACTCTCTCCTGGAGGGAAACTCCCACATTCTTGTAACGACATGCTTATTAAGGAAGCATTTGTTCTGTTGGGAGCCGACACGGTCTAGCGGCTAGAACCCCACCTGCAGATCAGAGGTTATTGAGTTCAAATCAATATAGTGCTGGATTTTTCCCCCTACAAAATGACATTGCCGCCCTGGACGACTTAGCTTTAAATGGGTATTAGGTGAAATCCTAGGAAGTAAAAGCGACTGCCGTTATGTTTGCCACCACACCCATCAATGTCGTCTGTAAAAATGTGCATCCGGCCTCATATGTCCGATGCGCCATGAGCGTTTAAGGGTATCTTAATTTTAGTTTATCTAGTTGTTATTTTTCGCGGCCCCCCCCCCCCCCCCCCCCCAAATTTTTTTTTTCTCAATGTGTCTCAGGAACCCACATGGTGAGGGAGTATACTATTCAACAGTGAAGGACACCCTGTTTTCAACAATGAAGAGAATTCATAGTTCAGATGCAAGCAGTAGTATTGTTTAATAATCAAGAGTAGATGGTTCAGCCTTGAGAGACTGTATCCTTCAGCAGCGAGGAGTAACAAAACATATAAACAATCAGACCTGTAGATACGATAATAGTTATATTGTTTTATTGGTTTTTTTTTCTTTTGTCAAAGTTATTCACTTTTCAATGGTCAGGGCTGAGGAGAAAATCGTTACCGAAAACAACAGGGTAATAAGTCCGCTACATTCGATTTTCTGTATAAGCCACTTTCTACACAATTCAATGGCTCAGACTTACCTGAGGATGCCACATTGCTTACTATCATAGCTCATATGCGTCTGCGATTTGGTTTTCTCTGTGCGAATGTCAACAAGTTTAGTCAATACCATCATAAAGGGCACCATATGGTTTTCCCAACTCCCGGGGCATTGAGAACGTTTGGTTTAATTATCATCACCATACACTGTCTAATATTCTGCTGAAGAATCGTAAAAACAAATCTCGATTTTGCTTGTTGTGCCTGATTTCTATTGTTAACATTTTTTCGTACTGGCCATAAAAAATGCAAAATGTGTCTTTTAAGGAAGAAGTAGCATGCCCTGGATTGGTGTAAAAAGAGAAGACAAACCATTGCACTTATAATGTTATTTTAGTTTTAATTACTAGTCACAAATAAAGGCTTCTTTCTTTTTTTTTTTTATCTACGTAATAATGCTTTTGTTTTAGCGAATCTATTGAACAATGTTAGGGCACAAATACAATTTATCACAAAAGCAAAAGAAATTTAAAAAAATAAAATAAAAATTCAGTTATTGGAAATATAATTCCTGTATTATGTTAAAATAATTGTTATTATTGATAGAAAGAAAGACAGATAATGTCCATTAAGGAAGATCTATGGCAGATGTTTGTGGGATAAAAGAATTTCAGCACATGAACTAATGCAAGATCTTGAAGACAGCGGGATGTGCAGGATATAATCGCCACATCAGACGGCAAATTATTTGTTGATGATGATTAATCCACGTCTGGCTTCCAACTACGCACATACTGAACATTCACATATCACGTGCAGGGGTTGTGATACCCCTACTCTTGTGTACCCTCATTCCTCCCAACGCTAGGACCTACCACAAGGGTCTCTGAGTGTACAAACATTGCAATAAATCACAAGCTGTTTTAGACGCTTGACACGAACTCTTTGTTTCTGTTTCTGTCTGTTGAAAGAAGATATTCATTCGAGCTAATGAAGCATATCCTTTTGTCTACTATTGTCCTAATACTGGATACAAGCTAGTATATCCCAGCGTTACCGAATCTACAGCTCGACAGTCGTACTCGTTGCCGCTCTGCTCAACAACCATTAAAGTGTTTAGTGCTTAACAACAGTATTCTCTACCACCCAGCTCGTCAAACAGTTGTTTACGTGAGTTGAATTCTATCATACATTTATTTTGTTAATTACCTTTGATATCTGTGCTGTGTATGCTTTCGGATACATGAGTAAATATTTCACAGTGATGCTTATCTTTATATTTCTAATAAATTTTCATTTAATAAAAATAATCTATATTATTAAAATAAAAAGGTAATTTTCCTTGTTTGTTAACTATAAACTCAGACACTACTGAACCGACTGCTTTTAGTTTTTTACACAACGTTGCCTTTGACTCAAGGTGTGATTTTTTTGTTAGAAAATCGCACAAACCACGAAGACGTAGCTCAAGCAACGGTCAAATCATAATTTGTTTCGTTGCCGGCCCGGATTTGATATAAGTTGATTAGCCATTTTTGGCTGCTGAGCT